AAAGACGGATGAATCCCGTTGTACTGGCTTTGTATTTGTTTCTATATTCGGCTTGCTTGCCTCTTCTTACTACACTCCAAGAAACTAAGACTACCGGCTAATCTAGATATCCTGCCATCAAAGAGAAGCAAAGGAACAAGCAGACACTGGCTCTCTTTCTATAAACGGCAATCTTTGCTTCTCATTTCCACTGTGGCTACATTCCCTAATTCTCTCATTCATTTATTTCCTTTCCTGCTTGTTATTAATTGCCCTCTTTGTTTATTATTACATGTTCGCAAATTCAGAAACAGAGGAGAGAAGAGAAACCCATTAAAGCATAGGATTTCGCTTTATCCTTGTCTCTTATTTATTTCCCGTCATCTGTCACCTTAATAAACTTATCAAGAGCTTTCAACTTTAGCCAAATGATATAAAAGACTTAATTTTGCCCAATTTACACTTTCCTGTTTCATGTTAACTTTAATCTGTCAACATAAGACAGCAACTTCAAGCTATTTTCTTATCTGGTCTTTCTGGTCTTTAGTGCTTTGATACGTAACGGTTTATTTATCATTAAGTATGAATACAAAGAATTTTTTTTTTCATATCCATAAGGTTTGCTCTCATATAGGCTGCATTTTTTCTCTGATCTTAGACAGTTCTTTTTTGCACTCATAGAATTATGAGTAATCGGTGCACTCGTAATTATGGTTCAATTTAGCCACCAAGTTAGGCCAACTATCCATCTCTGGTTGCTTGACTATCTTACTGTATTGACCCCAAATTCCAACCCTCTCTTATTTAGCATTACCCATACACTCTAGCAACTTTTGCGCCACTTAAATCCTTTCTTTTGGAACATCTTTGCACTGAAATTGACGAAATAGCATCCAAGAAATGGCAAATCTTCTAATTGCGTACCTATTAAGTATTTAGGCTAAAGTTCCGCTCTCATGCTTGTACAATTCATGTCAATCTTGTGTCATTTTAATGAGATTCCTAATTACATTAAATTTACTTTGCTTTTGTAACTTTTTAGCCTTATTCTTATTTAATTAATTATGTTTATCTACCCCATTATATAATTTTAATAGGATTCAGTGTCGATTGGTGGGCTCTTGGTGTGCTTATGTTTGAGATGCTTGCTGGCCGATCGCCTTGGGAGGGCGTTGGGCAGTCTGAAAACCCGGAGCAGAACACAGAAGACTATCTCTTCCAAGGTAAAAGTCCCTTTTAAGAATATATTATTTGTTCCAATTACCCCTGCAAATTATATTATTTTCCTTAATTCCCCCAGAGTTTCAATTCGACTGAAGATTTCTTGGAATTTTGGCTCTTTATAGTATTATAAATGAATGATATTCGTTGGCAATCGTTGTTTAGGGGCTTTTTGCTTAAAGTGGCCACTGCACAGTGATAGTGTTTGCTTTTTCCTCTTTTTATTTGGCCATAAGTAAGTTCTCCTATAAAGTCTTTCGAGAATTCGACCTCGGCCGCCGAACCCAGAACGTATGGCCTCAAGGGCAGGCAGATTAACTCCTACGCATAGAAGAGTTTGAAGTTTCAGCACCACTTGGATGAGACAGCAATATTTTTCCCCGACGCATAACTAATTGCAACCCAGATTTAAGCATTCTTTTTATTTTAGCATCAAAATTTCCTCCATGTGCCTACGCTATATGTTTGCCATTTGGGCCGAATGAGGTATTTTGAGCACAATTTGACGATGCCTCCGATTTAAATTAGCCTGTTTAGTATTTGGCATATAAAAAAGATCTTTTGCGCAGTATGAGAGATGTGGTTATTTTCAGTGGTAATACCCTTTTCCCCGGTGATGACGATTATGGCGTCATAGCTAGAGTATTGGCTTAAACGATGCATAATGTGTTCAGAATAGGATGTTATAACTTTGCCAATTATGGGCACTTTACTCTCCTGTATGGGTTGTATGGTCTAGATGGCGACTTACCTGCCTCTTAGTAAGTTTCTTATATTTATTTTGTAGGTAGGATTTCGT